GTACATCAGAAGTGGGCAAGAATGAATGGGTAAGGAATCAGGTGCAATCCCAAATGAGATCGGCTGAAATATCCAATTGAAGGGTTGGAAATTTCGGCTTATTACATTTGGGTAAGGTTGGGATGCTGGTGTAACACCGAATACTCAAAGCAGCAACTACAAAAAACTAGGACTTACCGGTAAGAACAAATACAAATACAACAAAAGTTGAGTTTGAAGGCTAACTTTAACAGCGGTAATGATGGAATGTTGGTAGCATAGCCTGAGTAATTAGACGTCCTAAAAGATAAGAAATGCCGTACTTGGCGGTGGCAACACATTAGTAAGCGTGGGAAAAAGTGGTTGTCATAACATGAATCAGGAGCACAAGAGAGCAAGGCTACCTGGACCACAGGAGAAGGTGCCATCAACGGTGGTGCCCTGCCTGAAACCCGGAGGACACACACACGAGTACGACCCCTTGCCATCATTCACACACGTGCCCACCGCACACGGATTGTGTACCGCTGCCCTGCATGCATCCTCTGGGGAATAAGACAAGAGGTGAAAGACACAGCGAATAGGAGCATGCTTTGAGGCGACTGAGAGATGGTGCCTGACGGTCAAAGTGTGCCGTGGTGCTGATAACACCTTTGCAGCCATGTGAGCATCGTGGCGGTTATCATGACTTGTGTATTGACATTTGAGACGCTTTCAAAATGACAAGATGGAGACAAGAAAGAGCGCTCACTATAAGCAATGGAGAGAGAGCCAATGTAAGCAGGGGGAGGGCGCTCACTGTAAGAACAGGAGAGAGAGAGCTCACTGTAAGCACAGGTGCGCGAGTTGTCCGGTTGAAGCGCCTCGACGAATCGCAGGTCGTTGCAGTCGCAGTGGTTGCTGGCCCCATCAGGCGTGGGCGTGCACGTGAAGTTGCCACAGGGGTTGAAGAGCGGCCCAAACAGCCCACTGGTGGTGCCGTTGACGTTGCAGGGGTCCTTGGCAGCGCGCACCACCGGGTAGATCCCAGGCAGCGTGTTGATCCCACACACGCCGTCGCCCCCCTGGATGTCCATCCGCATGTGCCCGCCGTCGCCCCACTCCGGGCCCCATGAGTTGCGGATGATCCAGAAGGGCGGCGCCATGTGCGGGAAGGTGGGGTCTGAGCCTGTGAGGCGATAGCCCACCAGCAGCACCACGTGGTTCAGGTTGTACGTGAAGCACGAGGGGTCCGCGTACTTGGATAGCTGGAGTTGAAGGGAGTGGAAGAAATTTTGGAGCGCATGGATATGGAGCGAGTCAGTATGTGTGTGCACGCGCGCACGCGTGTGTGTGTGTGCGTGTGTGCGTATCAGTGGGTGAGTGGGCTCACCCCATCGTGGTTGAGAAAAGAAGGGGCGGTGGCCTGCACATGCACCACCACGGGCTGTCGCTGCACGGCCAGCAGCAGCCCAAACCAGCCGTGGAACGCCGTGCGCTCAAACCCGTTCACCCTAAACGGCCCCCCCGATGGCTTGCTCTGCGGAGGGGGCATGGGAAAAGGGGTTGGGGAGGAGTGGTAGGGGAGGGGGGGTATGTGAGGAGGGTTGGAGCAGCGGGAATATTGGAGGTGGCTTAGAAGAAGGGGTGGAGCAAGAGGTGTTGGGGTGTAGGTAGGTGTTGTGCCAGTACACTATAATGACATGGTCATCGCACTCCCATTTGACGAACAAGTCCTCTCAGCTTCACCAAGATATCAAAGTTTTAGAGCCATGTGGCAGTATTAAGAGGATGCCAACAATGTTAAAATACAAGACATATGGCATTCAGGAAATCTGTGTTCTCATTTGGTTTGTCACCGGAGTTCACCATTTTGGCCGCTAACTCATGTACCGATCTCTGATTGGTCTAAAAATCTGGGGAGAGTTCTTTGCCACGCTGTGCAGTATCGTAGCAGCATGAGAGAGCTCTTGAATGACACTTTTTCATGGACATGTTGCACCATAGACATGGGCAAATACACGAGGCAAGTGAAAAGACAAGGGGGCATGCCAGGGGGAACACAGTCTGGGGGGTTCGTCTTGAGGTGCCCACACTGCAAGTATGGACATTGCTGCCCTCGATTTTGCAAAAGAAGTACTGATTGTGATGGATTTGAGACGCTCAAGGGTTTTGTGTGACAACAATGGACTGGAGTAGGCACCTGATCGCCACATGGTCAAGTGGTTGTCGAGAGACCTGACTTTTGTAGACACCTAAAATGTGGCATTGATCAGTACATGTGAGACACGTAAATGATGATAACCAAAGAATATTAGTGGATGAAGTACCTGAATAGTAGAAGCAACAAAAGTTACTTACCAATCCAGGGGCCCGGCCTTTGCCGCAGGAGACCCCAAGCGCTTGCAAGAGCAGAGCAAAGACAGGCATGCCACAGAGCGGGCTCTGGCTGCTGCTCTTCCTGCCTTTCCTCCCTCTCACCACCACTCCAGCCCCATCCTCCATGAGCCCCACTTTGCTCTTGGCGTTGAGAGTGACGAGGTACTGGAAGGCCTGTGAAGGCGAATTTCCCTGAGAGCATGAGGCGCCAAGGGCTTCACGCAGCTGGGAGACGGAGAGGAGCGGCACGGCGGAGAGGTTGAAGAGAATGCTGTAGGCCACTTCTATGCTGCCCACCACCGCATATGCCCAGCAGTCGCCTGGGATAGAGGAGTGGGAGAGTGGAACGAGGGGAGAGGTTGAAGAGGTGAGGGGTTGTTAAAGTGGGCTTCCATGCTGGCCTATGACTGCGTATGCCTGCTGAGATGGAAGCAGGGGAGAAGATGGAGGGGAACGTGAGGAACGGAAGATGAGTACAGAAAGGTTATGAAAGGACAAGCCACAGCAGAACATTTGTCACCACAAGCATTTGTACAGTGCCCACCCGCCCCGCTTATGCCCTCTCATGCCCTCTCACCCTTTGAGCCTCAAGTGAAGAAAACTCATTCCATCCCATTCCATCAGATCCCAAAATAATCCCATCGCATCACATCCCACCACATCTCGTCCCACCAATCCCATCCCCTCGCCTCCCCTTCCCTCCCCACCGCCATGCCCTCACCGCAGGCGCCCTGGTTCTGGACGGGCCACGGCAGCCCCTGGTCAGCCCAAGAGAACGCCTGGCTCACAACCCACACCTCCTCCTCCTTACCCCCTCCGCCTCCCCCGCTTCCTCCCCCTCCTCCTGGCTGCATTGCCTGCACGCCCACACTGGCGTAGCGGAAAAAAGGATTCGCCCCCACTGGTGACAGCGATGCCTCACTGAACCTGAACCCAAATTGCTGGCCTGGGATACGGTAGAGTGGGGTAAGAGTAGGGTGAGGTAGGGTACAACAGGGTGGACAGGGGTAGCGTGGGCATGGGAATAATGTGATATACGTGTGTGGAGGGTGAAAGAAATCCAAATGGTCAAGTCAAGGAGCAAGTGAGTGGTGGGAGGATTGGTTGGGATATAGAGAAAGGGCTGAAGGAATATTGGGGGGTATACTTGGTGAGAGATTGAAGGGAGGACTTGGGCAAAGATTTAGGGGAGGATTTTCATGACGAATCGGTGGATAACCAAGAGAACAAAGAGAACCAAGAAGGTTGCAGATTCGGCTCAAGTCAGTCATACCTGTAAGTGAGGTTGATTCCGGGAGGCCTGGAAAGAGAGAGTTAAACGCACGGACAGACAAAAGCACATGGGGAAGGGTATAGTAAGGGAGCAAGGTTGAGTGGGCCATTCCGGGCCATTCCTGATGTGAAAGAAAAATCGGTGGAGTGGCAGAGAGGATAATTGTTGGAGTGGGACGACGCAGGGAATGGGACAGTAACAGCAGCCAACAACAAGGATGGATGAACTAACTTTAGAGGGACCAGCAGAGGAACGATAGACACCAGGGGGAGCACACTGCAGCAGGGGCCAACAGGGGGCAGCTTTGAACAGCAGGGAGCAGCAGGGAGCAGCAGAGAGAAACAGGGAGCAGCAGCGAGAAACAGGGAGCAGCAGTGGGGACCTGTGGTGATGTTCCAGGTGAGGATGGAGTGCTGCTGTGGGGAGTCAGAGGAGGAAGCAGAGAAGCCCATGCGGAACGACGCCTCGGCTGCACAGGGCTGCAGGAACTCGCACAGCGACACCTGCATCGCCACCACTGCCTTTCTAGGCCGGGGGGATGCTTTGCTCGACAGAAATATTTGCAGCGACCCTGTGCCACTGCTGCTGCTGCTGTCATAGCCATCACCGGCACCGCCAGTAGTACTAGAGGAGGAAGGAGAGGGGTCGAAGACAATCCAGGCATGCTTTGGCTTGCCGTCGTTGAGAGTGGAGGGCGCTTTGGCAGTTGCGATGGAAGAGGTGTTGCCCCTCACACTGAATCCCACGTGGTTGTTGTCTGGGTCGTTGGCGTCGGTGCTCTTAGCAGTATCAAACTCCACTGCAATGCTGCGCTCATCCATGCCTGCATTCCCCAAGCTGCCGCCGCCCCCACTGCCGTTGCTGCTGCCACTGCTGCCGCCCGTAACAGAGGTACTGGCGGAAATCACAAAGGCAAACCCATCTCCTGCATCTCCCGCAGCTGTGGGCGCTGCCTTCCTTGCGGTGGCTGGTTTGAGAATGGAGAAGGAGAAATAGATGGTGAAGGCCAAGTAGCGGCCACAATCACCAGCCTTAAGGGCGAAGGAGAAGAGTGGGACGGGGAGCTTGAAAAACGCTGCACCCCACGTGTTGGGCTGTGAGGCTGTGAGCGTGATGTTCCCGTTGCTTGCCACTGCTGCCCCCCCCTTCACTACTGCCTGTGCTGCTGTTGGCTGCACGGCTACTGCGCCACCCTCTTGGCCTGGTGATGGGAGAGGACACGGCATGGCAGGCAGGGACGGGAGGGAAAGGCACAGGCAAAGAAACCCGTGGTTAGAATGCACGGGCAGAGAAACCCGTGGTTAGAATGCATGGGCAGACAAACCACTTTTGAGAGCTTTGCGGCACTTCCTACTGTTGTGAGCTGCACTGCCACTGGGGCACCCTACTAACCGGGCGCTGGGAAAAACGAGCTTGGAATAGGTGGCTAAAGCTAGGTGACAATGAAGACGATCTGCTGGAAGTGTTTTCTACTCTACAGCAATCTTCGTGAGCAATAAGATTCCAGAAACATGTCACCCCTTTCCCACGGCACGGCACAACAACCCAAACCACCCTCACTGTCTCCTCGTCCCCCGTTTCCCCCTCCTGCACTCACTTCCTTCAGGGACGCAGCTTCCAGGCAGCTCCCCGTTGACAAACCCGGCGTTGCAGGCACACGTGGGCACTCTGTTAGGTCCGTCCGCATAGCACGAGCCATGCCCGCCGCACGGGGGATCGGCAGCACTCACGCCGCAAAACACATCACAGAGCTCTTCTGGTCGCTGTACCGCTGCCTCCGCAGCAGAGGGAGTGGCAGGCGTGGGGCAGGAGTACCCTTGGGTGGGTGTTCTGAGACAGTTGAAGCGGAAGGAGATGGAGCGTTCAGAGCAGTTGGGCGGGGAGGAGAAGCCTGAGGAGAGGTAGTTGTTGTCGAGATCGTAGACGGTGAGGTTTGCTGGGATGGGCTGCAGTACGGGGCCTATCAGCTGGTTGTTGCGCAGGTTGCTGCGACAAGGGTGGAGAAGAGTGGAAGGAGTGAGTGGGGGGAGGGGAGAAGTCGAGGGAGGGCTTTCAAGGAGCTCCAATCATCGCTAATGGTCCGTTCTGTTGACAGGAGGGTGAAGCGCAAGGGATGAGAAAATGGAGAAAGGCGAAGAGCAGATGAATCAGGCAGGGGAGGAAAAGGGATAGGAGAAGGGAGAAGCTTGGAATGTAGGGGGATGCGGAGTGCTGAACAGTTTCACTGTAAGGTATGTATGAATTCTTGCGAATTAGCAGGCATTAAAGCTCCGGTATACATTTGAAAGGAGGGGTTCAAAATCTTTTGAAATTTGAAAAGTTGCCCCAAACCTGTGAGGCGCACTCCCTAACCCCTAAACCCAACCGACAAATGTATACTTCAGCTTTAAGGAGGAGAGACAAGGCGGGGGGGGGGGGAGAGAATGGTGGATGGGGATGAGAGGGATGTGGCCAATGGGGTGGACGCACAGTAGAGTGAGGCGAACAAGGCCGGTGTACTGAGTGGGGATGGTTCCATGCAGACGGTTGTTGCTCAGGTCACTGCCGAGGGAGGGAGAGAGAGAGAGAGAGAGAGAGAGAGAGATAACGAGAGAGATGTGGGTGAGACATCAGAGATTATAGAGTGGGAATTGGAGGGGATGGATAGGATGGGAGGATAGGAGAGTAGAGGTGGCATTAGAGAAACAAACAGGTAGAAATAAAACATCGTAGAAAGGGAAAAGGAACCTCATTGCAGATAGCACAACATTGCTGTTGTTGGTGGTTGCTGTATGGGACAAGGGGAAACGCTGACGCAACGAGCATTAGCAGCAGCAGTGGTAAGGAAAAAGGGCGATTCCTTGTAAGTGCACAGACGGAAGCAAGCATTTGAACTTAGCTAGTGTACCCTTTGTCAGAACTGGGCTTGAAATGATTGATTAAGAGAGAAGGCACTAGGCCTTAAGTACAACCAAAGTTGGGATGGGCAAATCTAGGGAAAGGATGGGATGGGAATCCAAGCAAATCTCCAATGATGAGTTGGCAGATTTGTTGGATTACGGGGGAATCCCAACCAGATAAGGTTGGGATAACAGATTCACACCCAACCTACAAATAACCTACACGATATAAAACAGAGTACACAAATGTGTTGACAGCGTATTTCTAACACCCTTGTTCTCAGCTCAATCAGAAAAGGCTAGGCTTTCATAAGTCTGCGTCCAGCACTTATGACAACTGTGCTTGCGTTTGTTTCCAAGGAAAATCAATGATGAGTGAGGAGGTAGTTGTATTGCATGTGTATACTATGTTGGATGCGGTTTGCTTTGCAAATCCTTCGCATGGCTCAGCCTGCGTTCATCACTCACATGGTTTGGCCTGCGAGGGTCACTCACATGGATTCCAGTTTTAACAGTCCTCCGAGAAGAGTGGGCAGGGTGCCGCTGATCTGGTTGCAGCAGAGGTTGCTGCGGGGGTGAAGAGGGCAGCGGGAAGGAGGATGGGAATGAGAGTAGGCTAAAGGCCGATGAGAATACTGAAAAACACTTAATTGAAACGGACAAAGGGTGTGAGAATGACACATGGCCAACAGCGGGGAGTGGGTGGGGTGAAGGGGGAGGAGTGAGAAGCAAATGAGGAGTGCGGGAAAATGGAAGTGAGGTGCAAAACTGACAAAATGGATGGGAGACGACAGGAGGGTATGAAAGAGCATTCAGACATAGGACAAGGGAACGGAATGGGGAGAGAGAGGGGAGGAGGTTGAATTCTTGGAAGAGAAAGTTGAAGTGGGAAGCCAGTGGGGGGCAGTGAGTGTGGGGGAGTGAGACGATGAAAATGGAAAATGGGGCTGAGGGGAAAAGGAGAGCTGGCACATGGGACGTCGTGCGTGAGGATTGGAGAGGTACTGACATGGCTTGGAGGTTCGTGAGAGTGGAGTACTCAGTGGGTATGGATCCGGTCAACTCGTTGCCACTCAGGTTCCTGCCATGAATGAGGAGCTCGGCCAGGGGCGAGGGGAGAGAGGGGGCAGCAAGGCAGGGAAGGAAGGCAGACGGGGGGAAGAGGGAGGGGAGGGGAGGAAGGAAAGGGTGAAGGGAGGGGATGTGAATTCGGAGGGGACGTTTGCAAAAAAAGTGGAAAGAAAGGCCAGGCTGCGACAAGAGAGAATGCCACTAACCTTGTTGCTGTGCCAGGCTGCATGAAGTGCAAACAAGCAATTGAGAAGGATGGGTTCCCAGAAACGCATGCTACATGCGGAGCCTCGGACTTTCCCCTACCAGAGTTGCAGAAGCAAAGGAAAAGAGAAGGTGGGACAAGGCAGAGGTGCAGTGCAGCACTCACAGGGCCTTGAGAGTAGTTATGCTGCCGAAGCTGGTTGGGAGAGGGCCAGAAAGGTCGTTGTGGCTCAGATCACTGGGAGTGAAGGAAGAGATGATTTGGTTGGGGGTGGTATATTAGGTGAAATGAAAGGGATAAAACGGAAGAAATGGAAGAAGGTAGGCGGGAGCGGTGGGTGCACATGCATAGCAACAGCTATTTTTTATCGCACAATATGATGGAGATGAAGTAAGAAGACACCTCTTGTTTGGGATTAGTTGGCATGGCATGACAAGTTACATGACAACAAGATGGAGATGAAGTGAGAAGACACCTTTCAAGACTTTTAAATGGCATTATTTTCAAGACTTTTCATGGTTGGGGAGTTGTCGGAATCATTCCCAACTCAAATTGCTTCCTAAATTGACAATAGATGCTCCAAGACTACTGCCAACTCAAACTACTACTGTGTCATTAATTCTTTATCAAATAGAGTAATTCATCTGGGTTCTTGTAGGCAACATCTAAACGCTCCAGATCCAATCTATAGCACATCATTTGGTTCTATGACTACAGTGATATCAAGTTTTGAAGCCACTAAGCAAAAATCTGTCTGCGCGCTCCTTTTTTTTGTTTAAGTCATTATGAAGCCTATTGTGACTAAACCATGACGCACGGCATATGGTCTGACATGGCATTTGGTATGGCATGAATGACAAGGAAAAATCAAGAGGACGTGTGAAAGCGCACATGAAGCAGCAATGATTGCACTTACAGGTTTGTGATGACATCCAATGCAGTGATCCCTGTAGGCACAGTTCCTGATAGCTGGTTGTAGCTCAGGTCCCTACCGTGCATACGCAGAGCGGCAAGGGATAAAAAACAAATATCAAAGGGGAAAGGGTGAGACAGAGGGGGTGGAAGACAATGATGAGAAGATCAAGAGCAGGCGAATGGTGACAGACAAGGAACCAAGAGGGAAAGGACATCACAGCAAAACCCTGGGGGATGTGTACCAGGTTGCGGTTGTGCATGAGCGTACATGTATATGTGGGGTGGGGGTATGCATATGCACACAAACGAAAGAGTGCACATGAGCATGTGGAATAAGGCACATAAAGCATCTAAATACGTATGAATGTGGACAACTGTACAACACAAGTGTTGTGCAGTGGTGGTGGGGGAGGCACATGTGCAACTGCACGCAAATATGCTTGTGCATGTCTGTGATTTACAGAATGGCACACCATTGCATGACATAGCACGTGTGTGCTTCCTCGTACAACCTTTTGCAATGCAGGTTTTCAAAGCACACGAATTTTACAGCGCCTGCTCGGTTGTTCATGTGGGTGTCTCGGGTCGGGTTATGAGGGACGCAAGCAAGCAGTGGTATGCTCACAGCTTCTGGATGTTGGCATTCCACGCAATAAATTCTACTGGAATGGAACCTGTGATAACGTTGTTGGAAAGAGATCTGGAGGAAGAAGTTGAGAGACATAGAGACAAAGGGACAACCTTACAGAGCAATGAAGAGCCAAGGCAGAGAGCAGGTTGACATGTGGCATACAAGAAGAGGCAAAATGCATTCTGATGGAAACACATTCGCTTGCTGCAAAGAATATTACTATTGTGCCAGACAGCATGAGAAGGCCAGTCAGTGCTTTTCACCACAGGGAAAGATGAGACAGGGATGGTGCTGTTGCTGGGAGTTCAGTGAAGGGAGAGCATGTGGAGTGCAGCGAAGGGAGTGCAGTGAGGGGAGAGCATACAGCTCCTGAAGATACGTGAAGCTGGATGGAACAAGCGTGCCCGACAGACGGTTGAAGCTCAGATTTCTGTGAGGAGAGAAGGAGAGGCAGAGAAAGAGATAGGGAGAGAGTGGAGAGGCTGAAGGTGTGTGTGCCAGAGAGTTAGGAGGAGGTATTAGTAGAACCTGGCAGAGGCGGTGGAGAGGACAGAGGAAAGCACAAGGATGACCACAAACGGGTGAAAAGGTCAGTGAAGGATAGTGAGCTAACAGGTTGGTGAGTTTGGTGAGGAGGGAGAGGGAGGAAGGCACGGATCCAGACAGTTGGTTGTGACTCAGGTCCCTGTGGCACAACGGGCATGGCATGGCATGGTGTGTTGTGGTGATGTGTGGTGTGGTGTGGCATGGCATGGCACGGCATGGTAGCAGGAATCCACATTCGTTAGAAAGCGAGTAGAAGAGAGAAATCACATGAGCGAACATACGATGAATCAAATGCACGTCAAGTAGAAGGGAAAGCACTTGACTAACAACAGTGCATCCCCACACCACACACCCACAGCTCAAGGAAGAACAAACGGAGAACTAGAAAGGAGTCAAACGGGGTCCACACACTCACAGGTGGGGTGTGTTACTTAGGGCAGCAATAAGTGGCTCTGGGATGGGCTCCGAAAGAAGGTTGGATGACAGACCCCTGAATGGCGATTTGGGGTGCAGTGCAGTGATAAGGGGTAAGTGTGGCTGGTAGGGAGGGACGACAATGATTGTGAACGAAGTACATGGGTTTGGAGATACAATCATATGTTGTAGTACTACACACGCTAAATTGTGGTACTGACAGCGTGGAGAGCTGGGAGAGGCGGCTGTAGCCCAAAGGCAGCGATCCTGAGAATATATTGTTGCTGAGGTCGCTGTTGGGGAAGGAAGGGAGAGAGGAGAGAGGGTGGAGAGGGGGGAGATGGGGGAGAGGGAGAAGAGAGGAGCGAGAGAGGAGAGAGGGAGAGAACAGAGGGAGGAGTTAGAGGGTAGTGAGCAGAGGAGAGGGGAAAGTAACAGGAGAGGATGATGGGGGAGAGTCTGTTTGTAAGTTGGCCCTGGGTATTGTACTAGATTAATTAGTCGGTAGGACAATCTTAACAACGACATGGAATTGATTGAAGCTCAAAGCTTATTTAGTGCAACAAGATTGAGTGGGAAATCAAGGATAATCCACAATGGGTATAACGCCTCGCTACCCACTGGATCAAAGTCAGGGTGTTGTTTAGGCGCAGCGGATGGCCTTTAGCACAGCCCACAAGCGTTACACTCGTCCCTCCCTGGTGCCAACATCCTCATTTGTTCAGAACTCCAGCAGAAAGTCGGCCCCCGCAGGGACCTCAATTTCGCTGTGAAGGTGACAGCGAATTCGCTGGTAGTATCAGGCCAGCGGAGGTTCGTTCGCAACTAGGTTACCACATTCAAGTTTTTTCGCTCATAGAGGAAAATGTGACCCAGCCGGGAATCGAACCCTAGACTCTGGTGTAACAGTATAACGCCTCGCTACCCAGGGTCAAAATGCGGTTGAAATGGCGCAGCGGATGCAATGGATGACATAGGAATTGCCTCTTATATTTAAACCACGGATAGTACATTCACACTGGACTGAACTAGAAAAGATTTTTTTCTTTTTTTGAAGTGTGAGATTTTGATGGGTAGGAAGGGAACTTACAGGTGGAGGAGAGAAGTGGCAAGACTAAGGATGGTCGGCAGTGGCCCGGACAATTGGTTGGAACTCAGATCCCTGTGCGTGGAAAGGGGAGGGGATTGTAACGAGGAGACACATTCATCTTTGTTGATTGTGGCAAAAACTCATTCAGCGCCTGTGCGGTGGCAAACGGTTGGGCAAGTAATAATTCGTTCGTAACTGAGATGAGAGGAATGAGCACCTTTGCTTCAAGGTTAAGGGATAGGAACATGCTATGCTATACCTGTGCAACGAGACGAGTTACTCGCTCTGTATCGCACGAGTTACTCGTTTGGGTGCGAGTAACGAGTTTCGGTTTTTGTACCCTGTGGTTCGTCAACCACGAACTCTACTCGCACTCCTCCCCTGCTCCTTGTAGCCTTCACAGGGTCTAAGTCGGCTTCACGCTCCCCTGCAGCTCCTACACCTTGAACCTCTGCTTACGTGTCTTGAAGTTGAGCACCTTGACATCCAAGCCTTGAAAGATTTTCTTAAGCATCTCGCTCCTCCTCGGCATCTTAACACTCGACACCTCTCGGATCTCGTACCCTTCAACGCGTTCTTCTTTCGTAAGCACTCGCCCCTTTGCAGTTGCATTCACCTTTGATCCTTTCACCATGATGTCCCCTTTCGCAGCTTCAACTCCCTCACACTTCGCATTTACTGCTTCGTCTTCAACCTCGCTCGCTGCTGCAAAAGTGTTGACACCGTCTTCATCTCCACCGTTCACTGCTGTTGCCTCCATCTCCTCTTCCTGCGTATCTGCTGCCTCCACACTCGCTGCTGTATCATCAGTGTCCTCACTCTCATCGACCTCATTCGATATCTCCTCCAAATCTCCCATCTCAGTATACTCAGGATCCTCGTAGATCACACCCTTATCGTTCATCGCTATCACGTTCATCTCATAGAATCCGTCACTGAAGTAACCATCTGCATACTTCTCCCACTCATGACCAAACACAGTAACCTCGCCACTGTCATACAATATCTTGCACCCCAACTCATCAAGCTGTGACTCACTCATCAAATTCACCTTCAAATCCTCAACCAACAACACACCCTCCAATTTTATCTCTCCATACTGAATCTGCAGCGCAACGTCACCCTATCCTGTCACTGGT